ACACAGCCTGGGACAAACCAGGGCTCCCTTGGTGGCGAGGGTAGCAACTCAGTGGGGATGAAGACCAAGGATCGGCCTGGAGCCATCGGGGCTCAGGCTAGACCATTGTCGGATCTTGGCCTGGGGACAAGAGAGAGTTCGGAGCTGCACCGAGCACCCCACTCCAATGAGCAGGTCTGGCCGTGGGCAGACCCTCCTCACCCCCAGGGCAGCCGCCTCTAAGCCCGGCCGTGGTCCTGGGAGAGCCACTTGGCAGGCACGAGCGTGGGCCCCATGTGCCAAGTCACGTACTCCACACTAGCTGGGCCGACCCAGGGGGCCAATAGCAAGTCCTCCTCTCCTGGAATCTCCCCCCATCAGTGGGGATGAGACTGAAGAAGCCCCTTCAATTCTCACTTTCCTGGGCACGTCCTGGACCCCACGGTGTTTGGGGGTGGAGTGGAGCTGGCTCTTGAGGGGGCACCTCCCTAGGTAGCTGGGTGACCATGGAGAGGAGACACTGCAGGGAAATGGGAGGTCAGACCAGGTGGGATCAAGCTCTGGAGATGGAGCAGCGGAGAGGGTTTGAGCACCCTCTCCGGAAGGCTGTTTGTTCACTCTGCGTCTTTGTGTTCTCATCGTGACTTGCTTGCAATGGCTGTAGCCCTTCCCAGCTCCCAGGTCATCATGGAGACCAGAGGGACCTGGACGCGGCAGAGTTGCTGCGATGGGAAGCCAGAGAGTGAGGCAGCCACTTGTCTCCTGGGAGAGTCATGCTCCTCCCTGGAGACCGGCCTGGTGGGCAGAGGAAGGCGCGTTACTGCACTACTGAGCAACGGCCCCGCCCTCAGCCTCCTCCGAGCTGCCGGCAGGATGGAGCCGGGAGGGGAGGGCCCAGTTTCCCATCCAGGGGAACTGGATGAATGGAGCAGAGAGGGCAGAGGCCCACCCTGCTGCGACCCCACGCCCTTCCAACGTGTGCTGCAAAGGGGGCTGGGTGGGTCCCCTCCACAGGGATGAACGGAATGAATGCTCACGCTTCCCAGTTAGCTTATGAGAAAACAGCGCTTAGAGTCTCCATGCTCCTTCTAGAAGCCAGGGTGGACAGCAAGGGGGCGCACCAGTGGGCAGTGAACAGTTGGGTCAGGCTCAGCCCTTACTGGAGAGCAACCACAGGGGGGCAGCAGGAGCCCATGAGGACAAATCTGCCTCCGTTAAGGTCTCTCTGACAGTCTGGAGGAAGGACTGGAGCGGGAGAGGCTGGAGGCAGGGAGGCCAGCACGGGGGAGAGAAGAGAGTGGCCTCAACTACAGGAGGCTCCGAGAGCTCTACTGGAGGTACGACAGGTACTTTCAGGAGTCTGATCTGGCTCTGGAAGGAGACAGAGATGGAGAAGTCTAGTAGGACCCTACGTTTCTAGTTCGACTTTGTGGAAAATGGTATTGTTTGGATGGAGGAACAGAAGTGAGGTTTGAGGAGCAGCGGCTGAGTTCCTCGAGTGTTCGCACCCAGCACCCTGGCAGCGCCCAGCACCCTGGCAGCGTGCTGGAAGCGCTCTGTAAAAGTTTGCTATGCTGTGGAGCAGCATCAGGGATAAACAGAAAGACATGCAGACCGAGAAAGCCAAGAGACAAAGAGGTAGCACCAGAAAACCAGAGCAGCCAGAAAGGAGTCCAAGTTCAGGCGAGACAGGAGCGGGCCACAGGCAGGGGCTGAGGCTGCACAGCAAGTCAGTGGGTGGGACCCCGTTCTCCCGACCATCTTCCGCCCCCTCCCCCACGCCGCCCTCTCTCTCCTTCACCCCTTGCCAAAGCCCCCTCACACAATAGTTCCCCAGGCTTTCTCCAGTCTGGTTTCAAACAGAAAGACAAGCAACTGCAAGATGCAAGCTGGGACAACCTGGCAGCCGCCAAGGAGGAAGGATTCTAGGACATTCCCCTGCCCAAGGCCACTGCAGATGGCCCGGGGAAGGCCTCCTTCCCGGCGCTCACAGCTGTGGCCAGCTCAGAAGGGCTCCCTGCGGACTCCGGCGTGTGAGGAACCGTCTCTGACAGTGACAACGGAGACAGCCCAGGAGCAGCCACGTGTGGAAAAGACTGAGCTCCATGAGGGGACGAGATTCATCCCCACAGCCGGGCCAGGAGTCCCAGCTGCCAAGTCTCATCCAAAAGCCATCAATAAGCGAGACCATTAAATGGTTCCTCTGTGAGAGGCGCAGGTCTTGGCACCCACGTATACTATCTCTATCCCCTCCCCCAATCTAGGAAGCAGCCACTATGGCCATCGTTCCACAGCTGAGGAAAACCAAGGCTCAGAGACGATAGGTAACTTGCCCAAAGTGGCACAGCAAGTCAGTGGAGGAACTGGGCCTCCGCCCCCCACGCCCAGCACCTTCAAAGCTCAGATGCTACAGGACTCAACCCAGTCCCAACATTTTCTGGCTCCTGCTCCAGGGCAGCGTGTGCCACCTCCCACCTTGTTTTGAGTGAGCTTTTGAAAACCAAGTGGGAATAGTATGATCACATACAGGGGTGAGATTGTAAATAGTAAATCACATTACAAACATCAGGCATTGCTGTTTTTATAGGGGTCACGGAATTTTATTTTACCAATTTTGGATGAAAAAGAAACAAGTCACTATCAATTACCACCATCATGTCATCAAAGAAAATATTTGAATGCACAAATCTGTAGACAGGCTGTAAGAGTGGAGTAAAAAGCAGTCCTCCCAACGGAGTGCATTCAACATTATGGAAAAATGCACAACAGTGTTGCTGCTTTTTCACTATAGAAAATGGGCGTATCCTGGGAATCATTCGCTGGCTTGAATGACCATTGCAGCTCCAGAATTCTTCCATGTACCCACTGTTACTTTTTACTAAATAAGAATGTCCTTAAGCAACATAATTCTAACTAAAATCTGTAACCATGGTGAGAAAAATACAAACAGTTTGCCTCTACTTAAACACGCATTTTTTTTTCCGCCAGCTTCAGCAGACGCCAAACATCTGGCCACCGCGGTCGCGTCTGTGGCGGCCGGAGCTGCGGTTCGGCACCTGCCGTGGGGACACGCGGCTGCGCTTTCCCCTCTGAGGCTGCAGCTCCCAGCGGCCCAGCAGGAACGACCTGGGCTCCTTGCCACCCTCACGTTCCTGACATCCCTGTATGAATCATGTTTTTTATTTTATGTCATTTTGATATCTGGGGGGCACGGAGCTGGCCAAGGGGAGCCTGCCCCTCCCAGGGCGTGCTATTTCCTGGGGACAATAAACTTGGACTTCACCTTTCATATGCAAACCAACCAATCCACCTCTTAAAACACTCACAGGCCAAGGCCCTGCCCGAAGTCACCCCAGGGCCACAGATCAGACAACTAGTGCCACCACCCCTGCAGGCCGGAGCCTCGGGCGGTATTCTGACAGCCGGTCCTAAGCAGCTTCCTCTCCCCTACCTTCCTTTCCCTCTGAAACCACAGCAGAGGCTCTGGCTTTTTGGCGGGGGTGGGGGGGGGGGCGGTGACCGCACGCGCACCTACTCAGAGCTGGAGCCAGGCCCTGGAGGCTGGTGTCCAGGGAGCCCTCCTGCACCTGAGGGACGGAGAGCTTGGAGGGAGGGGCCTCAGGGAAGGCTTGAGCTGGGAGGCAGTGGGCAGAGCGGCTGAGCCCCCTGAGGAAAAGCAGAGTTTGCCACCCCAAAATATGCCTTTTGTGATATTGGTTATTTTTAAGAAACAAGAGCTCAGAAAGAGTCTTTTACCTCCTCCTTAGCTGCCTAAAGTAATTTAGGTAGAAAACATGCCTAGGGGAAGAGAACTCTCACCTCGGTGAGTATGAACTCAGTGTGGCAGACAGGGAAGAACTGAGCAAAGTCCCTGGGCCCCATTGTTCTTGGTGGACCCGCAAGAATTCAAGAATTTGTTCACACATGTTTGCTCATTCTCACCTTCCTGTGAATTGTCTTCCTTCCCTTTAAAGTCCCAGACCCCTGCCTCTCTCTCCTTAGTTCAAAACAGCATATAGCCTCTACTGCCGAAAGTGTTGTGGGGTCCCATGTTCTTAGGGAACCCCTGTGAGTACATATGTAATAAATGTGGTCAGGTTTCCTTTTTAACCTGTTTCATGTCAACTTCATTATTAGTCCCTCTGGAAGGCTTAGAAAGGTAGAAGGGAAACTATTTTTCCTCCCCTAGACCCTCAAAGCTACAACCACAGATCAAAACGGGAGAGAAGTAGGGGTAGCTCTGAGCATGCGTCCTCCCCCCAAACACACACATACAGGCTCCTCTCCCAGCTTCATGTAAAACTCGTACTGCCCGGAACAAACACATTTGACTCAGTGCTCAACGAGTTCATCCCAAACCTCCAGGAACTAGGTCCTGAATTTTTACTGTGTCAGCAAACTGACATCTTCACCGAGTCTTTCCTGGACTGAATACTGTGCTGGTCACCATGAGGACACACGGGCAGAAGGAAACCTGGAGAAATCTGCCTGACCTGAGGGGTGACGAGGCCTGGGGAGGGGCCCTGGGTGCTGCAGGCCTGGCCTCTGAGTGATGGGATGCAGGGACCGCGCCCTGGCACACCCCTCAAATGAGGGGCCCCTGACCTCAGTCACCACGTCACCATCTGTGGTGCCTGGTAGTTGTGTCACCAAAGGAGACAGTATCAAAGGCTCAGGAGGGCTTGCTCTCCATTCCTGTCCTGTCTCCACTCACACACTAACAACACAGGAGGCTTCCCATGGTCCCATCTGCTCTGCTGGGCTCAGCCTCCAGTCACCGGCCTCAGGCCCTCACTCTGGCTCGGCCACAGAGATGCCCAGTGTGAGGGTCCATGGGGCCACGGGGCTCAGCTCATGGGGCAGAGTGGCTCCTGCACTACGATGCTGCCTGCGGGCCCGCTGGTGGGCGCCCTACCACCCCCAGGGCTCTGAGTGCACAGAGAGGCCCCAGGCCCAGGGAGCTGGGATCCATCCAAGAGGAAGAAAAGGCCCCTGGGCTGGGGGAAGCAGGTTTGACTCACGCTGCTTTTCCTGGAGGATGCTGGATGTGCACGGCACGCTCCCTTCTCCTGCAGAAGAAGAGAAAAACATGAGCAGACCCATCACTGTTAGCCAGACACCAGGAGGCTACTTTTGGCTGCCTCTGCCCCTCCATTCACTGTCCCTAGTTCCTGAGCTGGGGGTGGGCAGTGTTTCTCCCACCCCCTCATACCCTGCCCCACCCCTGCTACATTTAGCTCCTGGTTATTTTTCTTTTTATCCTCACTTTTTTTTCATTGCTTTTAGATAGAGAGAAAGGGAGAGAGGGAGGGAGAGAGAGAAACATCAATGTGAGAGAGAAACATCCATTGGTCTCCTCCTCTATGTGCCAGGACTGGGATTATATGTGCCCGGACAGGGGATCCAACCCAAAACCTAGGTATGTGCCCTGACCTGGAATCGAACTTGCAAGACAAACCAAGATCGAACCATTGTCCCATTGGTTATAGGACAATGCTCCAACCAACCCAGCCATGCCAGCGAGGGCACGCTCTTGGTTCTTCATGCAAGACAAAGCATGGCACCAGGACACCACTGCCTGGGGAGTTAGGGACTGGCCGCCCTTCTCCTCCGCCTTCTCTGGCACCTCCCTCCTTCCCGCCTTCATAAAGCAGCTGCCTGCCTGGTGCTGCCCTCTGTACACTTACCCTCCCCTTGACGGGCAGCACTGAACACCACGCCCACCAGGCAACTGCCAAATTCCTGTCTCTCTTCCAGCACCCCCGCTAAGGGATCCAAACCCCCCACTACCTCCTGGACATCAGCTCTGGGTGCTTCTAGGGAGCCTACTCCCACCAGCCCCCCAGAGAGGGCCCTGAGCTGCCCTCTTCCCAAGGCCCCACCTCAGCGAAGGTGCCCTTTCTGCCCCAGCTCAGGAGCTGGCCACAGCGCCTTCCCCCTTTAGCCCCCATGTGCGATCCGCCACGGAGAGCTGCGGGGTCTGCTCCTTATCTCCTCAGCACTCCCTCCTTCTTTTGAACACTATGTCTTTACAAGACATAGGCTGCCCAGTGGGAGGTGTTGTGTGTTCACGGGTGTCCTGGGCCTAGTACAGTGCTTCTCAATATTTGTTGAATGGGTAAATGAAGGGAATACCCCGCCCCCCTCCCCGGTACACAGCGGCATGCCATCCAAACACAGAGCTCCATCCTGTCTCCCTGGACTACCAGAACAGCTTCCTTTTAATGAGGAGCTTTTTTTCTGTAATTATGAAGTAGCATAAGCTTCATATTGAAAATTTGGAAAACACTAACAAACATTAATAAGGGAAAGACTCCTTGTAACCCCACCCCTGACAGAAAACCACTGAACCCATTTGATGCCATTGCTTCCTCTCTTCTTTCCACATGCATTCTGGGGCCTATTGAGACCATATCAGCTCTCTGCAGGCAGGGACTATGTTATTTATGTCTGGATTTCCAAACAATAGATCAATGGCTGACTCGTGGGAGGCATCGTATACTATCACAAAATACACTTTTTATACTTCAAGTTGAAGCATAAATAATTCCCCAATAAAGTTATAAAACCTTTAAAACATCATTCTAATGACTGTATAATCTGCTATTGAGTGGCTATATGACGGTTGACTTTAAGATTTTTTTAAAGATTTAATTTACTTAATTTTAGAGAGAGGGGAAGGGAGGGAAAAAGAGAGGGGAAAAGACATCGATTGGTCACTTCTTGAGTGTGCCCCAACCGGGGACCTGACCTACAACCCAGGCATGTGTCCTGATCAGGAATCGAACTGGTGACCTTTTGGTCTGCAGGACAACGCCCAAGCCACTGAGCCACGCCAGTCAGGCAATTGACTTTAAAATTATCCACTGGTGGAAAGTTTCTAAATTGCATCACTGTAATTACTACTGCAATGGATATCTCTGTAGTTGGAGCTCTTTCTGCATTTTCTATGATTTCCTTAAAATATGTCCACAGAGGGGGAATTCTGGGTCAAAAGACAGACGGTATTACCGCCTGATCGCTTTCCATGAGGTGCACCTTCCGACTTGCACACCCACCCGCAGCAGAAGTTAAGTGCTATTATCAACAGACACTTACCTCCCTGGCACTTACTCTGGTCTGTTGAATTTCTCTGCCTCTGGCTCCACCTGACTAATCTTTCTATACCTAGCACTCCAAGGGAGTCCCACTATCAAATTCTGCCCCTGACAAGCCAGCCTCTCCAGGAAGTGGCCCTGCCCACGTTTTCCCCACTCCCTCTCACTGACTGGGCACCAGCCAAATCACTGTCTCTGGGTCTGCACTCACAGCACAGCCTGCCCACCTTTACCGTCTTTCCCCTTTCAAACTCACTATCCCGCAGGCTGGGCTGAGAACCAGCCCTGGGGCCAGCTCTTCCATGGGGTTTTAATTCTTCCCCAGGAACCTCAGTGTTAAGGACCTCCATCCTCAAAAGTCAGCTCTGGTTCCCAAGGGCCAGCACAGGGTCAAGTTAAGCAAAGGCTAGCTCCCTCCCCTCTCAAATGCCCTCCTGGAGCCCAGCCCACCTGGCTGGAAACCTCAGAAAGGGACCTGAGCCCCAACCCCCAGGAGCTAGCAAGCTCCCTGTGTCCACAGGGAGGCTGGAACCTGAGCGGTGGAGGCCCCAGAGCCCCCTCACCAGACCCCTCCCAGCGGGAGCTCAGTCAGTCAGCAGCTCTTCAGAGCCCCGCTGGCTCGGCAGCCAGACGGAGCCCCGCGGCCGTCAGGAGTCCTAGCCTTGTCTCCATGCGCTGTGTGGTCTGGACCTTGAATGTGCACATCTGTCCGATGGCAGGTTGCCCTCGACCGTGCGGAAAGGCCCTCCAGCTCTGCCTATCTTGCTTCTGAGGGCGAGGTGTCCTGGGCCCGGGGGTGGCACCAAAGCCGCCGCACCGGGGCCTGGGAAATGGGTAAGCAGTGTAAAGGCCATGCCTCCCGCCTGAAAACTCGCCTTCAGCCCTGGCCAGTGAGGCTCAGTAGGTTGGGTGTCTTCCTACAAAGCAAAAAGTCACCAGGGTGCGGGTTTGGTTCCTCGTCAGGGCACATACTAGAGACACCCAATCGATGTTTCTCCCTCTCTTTCTCCCCAACTTCCCTTCTCTCTAAAAATAAATAAAGTCTTCCTGCCTGATAAGACTGTCTCTTCTGAAGATTCTACAGACACCAGGTCCGGCCTCGCCAGCTTCCTGAGCAGTTTTGAGTTTCCCTAAAACATGGAGATATTGGCAGCTTCTCCAAGGACCTCAGTTCTCCAAGGAAGGAGAGAGGAGGGAGGGCCACTGAGAGTTAGTATGGAGGCTTCACACAGGTGTCTGCACAGATAGAAGGGACAGTTAGAAAGGGAGGTGGGAGCCGGCCCAGGAGTGCGGGCGCAGTGGTGTCCGCAGGCAGGGCTGCCCTGGGCACACGGGAGCTTTGTCTTAGGTCTGTGCTTCCCACAGTCCAAGTCACTGTGAGTTTATACCTGCACAGAAGAGACCCCCCTCACAGATAAAGGGAACAGAGGCTCAGAGGATAAAGTCACTCACCCACTGTTTAGATCTAGCCCCTTAGACATGCCAACTCTGCTGAGGGCTCTTCCCATGACCCCTTCCCGTATTGGGTGGGGGGATGCAGAGCTTTCTAGAGCAAGGGCTCCCCGGGATGGCCCAGGCAGCTCGGGCAATGCTTCCTGAACTAGGGAGTCATCGAGGCAGATAGATGAAGGCTGATACAAGTCAGGGGCTGAGGAGTGGGGAGCAGGGACGTGGGAAAGTGGGTGCTTGCAAGCGGTACCGGTGAGAGGTGTCCTGAGGCTGTGACGGACCCACGCTTCCTCAGGTTCAGCCTCTGCTGCTGCAAAACCTGGGCCCGGTATCCAGATGGCAGGAGGGTGTTGAGGCCACCAACTGGGCAGGAAGGAGCCTGCTGGCTGACAAGGTTAGTATAGAGCCAGCACAGCAGGAAGCGGCCTCCCTGCCCAGCCCCAGCCCCAGCTTCCCTCCAGCCACCAGCGCCAGTGAGTGAGCAGAGCAAAGGAGTAAGCGGAGGAGGAGTCGGCTCTGAACCGGCTTTCTGATTAGCAGGCTCCCAGGACGAGGGTGATTAACCAAATGTGCAACTGGCTCAGCCACTGCCTAAATGAGACCCCACTTGACCTGAAACTTTCCAGGGCCCCTGGGCCCCACAGGCTCGCCTCAGCTGGAGCTTTCTTCATAGGCAGAAGCTGCCACAACAGCTACACAGAGAGATCTGGGGACGGGGACAGGGCCCTGGTCGCCCGCCCTGGGCTCAGCCTGCTCATCCTGCCTGTACCAAACTCCCACAGCCCTGGGCACCTGAGCCGCTTCATCTCCCCTAGCGGTTTCCTGAGTGATTTTATGGTTCTTCTTCCCAATCCCCTCCCAACAAACTGAGCTACCCAAGAGCAAGAGAAGCAAAATGCATAGCTAACACCAGAAGCATTTTCACCAAACACCTGAAACAGGGGCATCTTCCTGTCTCCAAGAGAGGGTTGGGTGGCTGCTGGGGCAGCAATTCAGGAAGGAGAAACTGGGAATCCTCCTCCTGATACTCCAGAAAGTGCCTGGGGGGATGGGAGTAGTTGAACCCTGTGATTTGCAAGGCTTAGGGAACGCCTAGCAGGCTCTGGCCCAGCCTAGTAACTCAGTTCATGGAGCAGGGCTGACCTGGGAAGACCTACATGCCCCTCCTGCTCAGACTGTTCCCCAAACACTGAGCCTCTGCTGCGTTGCAGGGTCAAGGTTCGCCCTCCTTACCGCTTACGCGGCCCATCACAACTCCCTCTACACCCCTTCCCTGGCCCCTGCTATGATCTTCGACACTGGCTTCCAGGATGATCTTTCTAAAAAAGTGTCTTGGCTCTGACTGGTATGACTCAGTGGGTTGGGCATCATCCCGCAAACCAAAAGGTCACCGGTTCGATTCCCAGTCAGGGCACATGCCTGGTGTTGTGGGCCAGGTCCCCAGTTGGGGGCGTGTGAGAAGCAACCCATGGATGTTTCTTTTGTACATCGATGTTTCTCTCCCTCTCTTTCTCCCCCCCTTC